ATTTAGCCAATCAACGTTAAATTTTCTACCAGAAGGACAAATTTGATTGGCTAAATTCAATATGTAACACAAACCCCGCACTCAATTTCAGACACTGGTTTACAAACAAATATATTATATGTGTTACATATGTACTGATCAGCATAAAATATTTTTAAGCAGATAAAATTAATAGAATGGTACTTTCTAGAAAGATGCCTTTTTAAGTGTTAAAATATTAGTATCAAGGCAAAAAAGCCTTAATGATATTTTTTATTGAAAGATGGCCAATATTGAAACTTTGATGATTGGTCACATTTGATTTCCATCAGATTAGAATCCCAAACCCAATTTTGCCAAAATGCCTGCTTTTCATTAAAGAAAATACCATTATGTGCTTTCAACTTTTTTATTTGTATCTTTGTTTCAATTCAGAGACTACATCTATTATAAATCTATCAAATAATTTTACAGTAATTTCAAATAGTTATTATATTAAATGCTTATAATTTATAAATTTATTGGTCATTTTTTTGATTTCTCATCCCATTATGTAATTTAGTTCCAACACTAACTTTAGATGATAACGTAAGTTTACTCCTAAAAAATATATATATATATATATGTACAGTATGTGAATATATATGATAGTATAGCTTTAATTCGTGATCCTTTTAAGGAGGAAACAATTTTAATAATGATGATCAGCAGATGCATATTAATAAAATTCAAAGAATTCACTTTGCTTCTGCTAATCATATTATGTTTGTACTTTAATAAAATAAACAAACAAATATAAATATTTTTTCTTATGCCATCAAGGTCCCCTTCTCGGAACTGTTTACACATTATTTTAGAAATGTGCTGAGATTATGGATATTATTATTAAAAGTTAGTGTTACTTTCCTTCTTAAAAGGATCACGAATTAATAATTGAAACTAAATTAAATAAATTTTTTAATAAATACCTGCAAGTTGAACATTGCTTCAATGAATGACAAAAAACTTTTTAAATTGAAGAAAAAAAAATTTTTTTTGAATTTATGAGGAAAAAAAAATCAAAATAGATTTTGAGAAAGATATTTACTTGATAAACAAACAGAACAAACATATCCAATATCAATAATTTTTTTGTGACAAAAACATGCTGCACCAAAATCTATCTTTTCTTCACCTGGTAAGCAAAGATATTTTCTAGTAAATCTATCAGGAAGAAAAGTCATCTATTAAAATTACAAATTATATTTATTATTATTGTTATTATTATTAAATAAGATCATAAAATTAATATGATTGATGGGAAATATTCTCATACCATCAATGATTGTAAAAATCCATGAGGATTTTCTAATTTAAGATATCTACCACCAGTTATAAAAGATGCTTGTTGTAAAAACACAGTGCCCTCATCAAATAATTTACAAACATCCATGGGTATTCCCTACAAATAATTAAATAATATATCAAATAATATATTTATATATATAAACATGTGTATATTGAATCATCTTCTCTCTTACTAATTTTTGTGCAGAGAATATACAATTCATTATAGATATATATTGATATGGTGAATCTGGTGAAACAGAAATAATCATCATTCTTGGCTTTATATGACCAATTTCATCTGCTTTCATTATTTTATTGATATCTTAGTTTACCAAATAAACAAAATCAAGGAATATTTTTTTAGTTTAAAGATTGATTAAATTAAATGAATATGTTATGCGTGAAAATGAAATCTATGTGAAAATTAAATTAGCAAATCAAAAGGAATTTCACCTCTAATTATAGATTTCATTCAATTTCACATAATTTCAATTTCATATACAAAAAACATAGTTTGATAAGGATACAACATAATGACATCGAAAGAGCTCCTGCAATCATGGAACTTCCTATCAATAAATAAAATAATAATTATTTTTTAAATATTACTTGTCCACATCCAATGTCAGCTAACACAAAATAATTTTACCTCTATCTATATGCTTATTATTTATATTTTCAATATTAAGATCTTTGATCAAAGTCTTTAAATTTAATATTACTTGATCATTTATCACTCTAAATCTTTGATATAATGTGGAATTGATTGATTTGTCAGATTTTTGCTGCAAAGATTCTGATTTTGATTCTAATGGGATTGGATATAAAAATTTACTAAAAACAACATATTATTATTATATTATTAATATTATTATAACAATTTATATTGTCCCATTTATATAATTTACCTGAAACCAGTATGACTTGCAATGACAACTACCTCATTATCATGTTTTAATGATAAATGTGCATTAATATATATCAAAAGATGGTGTACAATATCTTTGAGTGTGAATATTGAATCTTTTGATGCCCATATTATTGGATTTGTATCAATAATTACTACAAGCAAATTGACATCATCTAGTTTTATTTAAACAAAAGATTTATTTATTTATATTTTCAATAATGGTGATGGTGACAAAAATATTTATGTACCTTCTGTAACTATAGTATCTTTCAAGGCATTCATTATAACTCAAGAGGTTCTAACATGCGACTTTTTTCTGTGTGACATTGAACAAAGTGCGACTTTTCTTTGCTTGATAAATTAAGATGTTTTTAAATTTTGGTTGACTAAACAAATCTAATTAGAAAGTAAAATCCCATGACTTCAAGCCCTTATAACTGTTTTTATTAATAAAAACTCAGCCAAGTTATTATTCTACACTATTCAAAAATGGGAATTTTCGTGGACTAGTAAATTTCGAAAAAAGAGTTTTTCAAAGTATGGATGATTTTTGAATATGATTTTTTCATCATTGGAACTGTTCTTTCAAAGATCTTTCTGTGCCGATAAACTAGAGATACTATAATACACTATATTCAAATATGGGAACAGGATCTCTCTTTTTCGTATACTAGCTACATTTCAAAAAATATATAATTTCTTTGGTGAACTGACTGATCGACATTATGTTATTATATAAACACCCACCCCCAACGACAGTCATGCCAACACTGCCCAATTAATAAATGTTAATATATACCAAGAAACGAAATTTGAGAAACTATTTTGAAAGCCACATAATGTCCTGACAAATAAAGATGGTAGAGTTGGAAGATAATTTTTAATCTGAGCCTCTTTCCGTGTATGTTACATTGTCTTGGCCATCAAAGTGGTAATGAAAAAATTTACAATAATAGTAATATTTATTTTACAAAATTAGTTATAAAGAATTTTAAAACCGTTCCAAAGACATTATCGAGTCATTATTTACAAGTCAGAACTAAGAATTTAAAGGGTGCCTACAGGGCCAATAAAATCGTTGCAACAATTGTAGCTTGAAATTCTCCCTATTTCCAAAAATGGAAGTGTAAGGCCAAAGTCACTACTTCATGCCACCATTTAGACAGAGCAATCAGTGATATTAATATGATGTACTGGGACAATTTTTAAATTTTGTCTTGATAATGATAAAGATGTTTATGAAGATGCTTCTTGTTAATAATAATAATGATAATGATAATTACGAATAAATACATTGCAAGATTTATATGTGTAATAAGCCCCAACTTTGAGCCCTCGAAATTGGCGTCATGGCGCAGATGTAAAAATAATGGTCGTTTCCAAATAAAGTATTGATCATCAGTTAAAATTGTTTCAAATTTTTCAATTCATCCATCATCATATTCACATTATAAATATTAAAAATTTTTTTTTATTCCCCCTCTTCATAAATTTTCTTTCTTTTTTTTTTTTTACACTATTACATATATAAATATATAAATATAAAAATAATTTTTTTACAAACGATTCTACATTATTTTACTTAATAATAATATGGCCGTTCCAAACTCTTTTGATCACTTTAGTGACAAATCAACCTCAACCTCAACCTCATCTTTATTATATCTTAATGATTCGTATCCTTCATATAAACAACAAATACTTAACCCAACTTATTCTAATCGTTCTGCATCTCGTTATTCATTCGTCTCGGAAGATTCTGTTAATAATAACAACAACAATAATATTAAGAAAATTAGTACCACTGCAATTATTAATTCCAATAATATTAGTACTGACATTAATTCCAATACTGATAATAATTATAACTACAACAATAACACCAACAATGCCAATAACAATAATAGTAATAGTTACTATAGCAATAATAATATAATTGATGTCATAAGTACAGATATCAATATTAACAATAATATTAATAAAACTAATCATGATATAGTACCATACAAATCAATCAATCAATATTCTACTGCATCACCTTTAATTCAACCACCACTAATACAACAACAGCAGCCACAACAATCATTATCATCGTATGTAACAGATTCTTCCTTCAATCATAATAATTATTTGTATAGATCGAATAATTACAATTACAATAATTATTACAATAATAGTTTCAACAATAACTATAATTATAATTATAATAATTATTACAATAACGGTTACAACAATAATTATAATAATTATAATTATAAAAGAACAACACCTACTTCTGCCTCTTTTTCTGCTCATATACCCCAATCATCATCATTATCCTCATCATATAATTCATCGAATAATATTCATGATAATATTGATAAATATAACAACGATATCATCATGATGTTATTAACCTCAAATCCTAACCATCACGATAACGAACCTGGTAATAATACTAAAAATACCGTTGCTATACCTAACAATAATTCACTTAACAAAGATAACACTGATTTTATTAATAATAACGCAAATTACACTTCAGCATCTTTATGTCAAATCACAACTGAAACAAGAATAACAACCAACTCAATAGCTACATTAACAACAGCTACAATTAATAATTTAATGTCAACAACAACACCATCATTGCCACATCCAGTTCATTGCATTAATAATAATAATCTACTTCAAAGCCAACAACAACATCAAACTAATCATAATAACATTTATAATACTAAATATTCAATATTATTCCAAAATATCTATAATGATAAAACTCTTCAAAACATGATTGATGAAACATCATCATCACAAAATAACAATAATAATCATGATTTACACACAGTCCGAAATCATCAAAATAACAATAATCCCCAATCACAAAATGAAGAACTCGATGATCATCAAAAAATCATAAAGCAAGAAAGCGTACAACAACAAAAACAGAATATACCATCTGTTAGATCAATAGAATATCAAAAGCTTATTCAAGAATTATTACACTCACCACTAGAACAGCAAACATCGGAATCGCCATTACCGCTAGAAAAATTATCATCGGAACCACATAAAGAGCATCAAACTCTGCCAGACCTTGAATTTGATAAAAACCATAAAGTAGTTGATCGTGATCATGATCATGACTTATCATCTGATTCTAAACTGCCCTCATCATCACCACAGCAATTATCACAAAATTTTTCTAATCAAAATATTAATAATCATACAAATGATAATAAACAATTTAGACAAAAAAACAATAATTCTTCCAATTCGATAAAATCATCTTTATCAACATCGTCAACATCAAGCTCACCAATTTCAAAGTCAAAATTAAATTCGCCTCCATCCAAAACTAACTCATCATCTTCATCAGCCTCTAGATTAAATTCACCCTCATCCAAAACACCGCAAACACCACAAACTAACTCATCATTAACACCCTCATCTTCCACGACCTCAATTAATAACAATACAGTAGATCAATCCCATAGTCTATTAGAAAATCTAACATTGCTTAGAGTTTTCTTTTCGATTTGTAATCACTTAAACACCAAATTTGTTTTAATTTCACGTAAGAAAAGAAAAAGAATGTTTAGCTCTTTATTACGTGTACCAATACTTAAACGCACATTTGGTGCATTTAAAGCTACCAAGGAATCAGCAGACGAATTGGTGGCAGAAATGGCTATAGGTGAATTTATAAGACAAATGCCTGAAATGGTAGCACAGGTTTTGAAAGACAATGGATTATCTGATTGTTTGGTGTTAGAAGAAAATGAAGACACTTCTTCAGGAATTGTTGTTAAAGAACAACAATCTGATTCATCGTTAGATGATGTTGGTATTATTGATCAGGACGATAGTAGTAGTGGTGTGGATGAGAAGAATGTACTTGAGGATACACACGATGAAAACGAAGAGGGAGGGGAGTTTTCTAAAAAGACCAATTTAGAAATTATACATGAGATTGAAAATGATGATGAAAATAATGAAAAATATGCATCCAAAAATGATAAGATTTCAAGTGATCATGATGACGATAGTACAGTTTCCAATAATAGTTACAGTGATGATAATGATAAGAATTAAAATATTATAATAATAATTTGATATTTTTTAATTATTCTTTTTTGATTTTTATAAATATATATTCGCGATTTTTTTCTTCTCATATTTCAAAAAAATTTTCAGTTAATAAAAAAATAAAAAAATTCTATTATAATAGATTTTTCCCAACCAAAATTTGTAAATGTAACTAACTAGTGAACAATATTTAAATAATAATAATAATAATAATAATAATAATTAATGATGGAACAATCTTAAATTTGTATGAATTAACACAATTTCATGTTCATCAGAAGCTTTAATAACTGCCTCATCTTGTATTGAACCACTTGGAGCAGCAATAAACTTAACACCAGATTGTGAAGCTCTGTGTACATTATCTGAAAAAGGAAAGAATGCGTCAGAAGATAAGGCAACATCTGATAGAGTGGCAAGATGTGATTTACGTTCTTCAGGTGATAACGGTGTAGGTATTGATGTAAATAAAGATTCCCATGATTCACGTTCCGATCCTTCTCCAATTTTATCGATGATATATAAATCAATCGCATTACTTTTATCGGCTCGCTTCACTTCTTTTTTAAAATTAAATGCCAAAACTTTTGGATGATGACGTAGCCACCAATTATCAGCTTTGTCACCAGCTAATCTTGTACAATGAATACGAGATTGTTGACCAGCGCCGAGTCCAATAACCATACCATTTTTAGCATAACAAACTGAATTGGACTGGGTATATTTTAAAGAGATTGTTGCCACTATCAAATCAGTGATTGCAGATTCTGATAACTAATTTTTTTTTTAAATAATAAATAAAAATTGTGCTTTGTAGGATTAATCATTAAAATTAGAAGATAGAAAAAAAGTCAAATAAATAATTACATTTTTATTTTTTGAGACAATATTTTCAAATAATTTTTGATCTATTTGAACATTGTTACGCTTTTGTTGCAAAAATAATCCATAAACTTGTCGAGTTTCTGTTTCAGGTGGTTCATAATCAGGGTCAACCTAATGATCATATATATATAAAGAAAAAAATGTGTTATTTTTTATATATATTTTTAAGAAACATTTGTTATATTATTTGAGAATCCACCTGAATAACTGTGTATGTGCCATTTTTCTTTTTACGTAAAATTTCCAAAGCTTCGGGTTCATAACCTGGAGCAACAATTCCATCAGATACCTCTCGTGAAATAATTTTTGCTGTGGGAATATCGACTATATCACTTAGAGCAATCCAGTCTCCAAAAGAAGACATTCTGTCAGCACCTAACCAACAAAATAAATTTATTAGTCAGAAGACAAAACAATAACTAGACTCATCAGCAACATTGATATTATTATTAACACTGATTTACCTCTAGCACGTGCATAGGCATTTGCCAAAGGTGAAAGATCTTTGACGTCATCTACAAAATATACTTTTTTCTCGATATCAGATAATGATAACCCTACAGCAGCTCCAGCAGGTGAAACATGTTTAAAAGAGGCGGCTGCTGGTATATTAAGAGCATTTTTGAGTTCCTATTTTTATTTTAATAATAATAATAATAATAATAAGTCTTGGAAACATCATCATTAATTGTTTATATCTATCTATAGAACACCCACTTTGACTAAAGGCCAGCCATTTAAAGCATCAAGCAAATTAATATAACCAGGTGAACCAGAAAGGACTATATATATTATAATAATCATATTGTAATTATTATTCATGCAATAATATGTTTTAAATTAATCAGATATTTGTATTAAATCATCCTAACCTTTTATTGGTAATACACCATCTTTCACAAAGACTTGTGCAGGTTTTTGATGTGGATTTGCTCCATAACGCAATGTCAATTGAGAAATATTAGGTGCATATTGTTGCCTAAAATAATTAGAAATTGCATCATCATAATCAGCAGTATGATTAAATGCCTAATGTTTTTTTAAAAAAAAAACTAAATTTATTAAATTTATGTTAATAATTAAGAGATAGATATATGTCATGGAATACATATTTATATTTATATAAATACTTTTAATGCCAATAATCTACGAGTATTTTCTGATACGTGGCCATCTTTTTTCAATTCAGTCAAGAAATTTGTGTAATCATTTGGATCCGAAAGTACTGTAACACGATCATGATTTTTTGCAGCAGCTCTTAAAAGAGTAACACCACCTATATATATATACCAACAAATAATGGCAATTGTCATTAGAATAAAATAATTATGCTGACACCATTGAATAAATCATTGTTATGACTGACCAATGTCAATTTCTTCAACGGCCTCAGCAATAGTGATATTTTCTTTTTCAATTGTCTCTTTGAAAGGATAAAGATTGCAAACCACATAGCCAATCTTTTTTATATTTTGTTGGATAAGATCGGCCTCATCACTTTGAATATTTCTAGCAAGAATGCCTTTTTTAGAAAAGTATAAAATTAAGAATAAAATAAAATCAATTTACCGAATATATTAATTAATTAATCAAGCTGATAGAAAATAATTACCGCCATGTACAGCTGGATGTAATGTTTTGACGCGACCTCCTAATATTTCAGGAGCTTTGGTTATCTCCGAGACATCCCTAAGAATTAGAATTGAATAATAATAGTAATAGTAATAGTAATAGTAATAATTGGTTAGCCATTGTGTGATTAACTGCTTTGGTTAAAAGGCTCAGTAAGATTAAAGGGATAACATACGAAATAGGAATACCAGCCTCTCTTATTTTCTTTGCAGTACCTCCAGATCCCAAAAGACGAACATTCAATTCATTGAGTGCTTTAGCAAATTCTAAAAGACCAGTTTTATTATAAACCGAAAGAATTGCTTATATTTTTTTGTGTGTGTGTGTGGAATGTATACAAATGGAAGAAATCAATACAAAAAAATTCATGCATTCAAAATAATTCAAAATAGATAAGTATATATTACCAATTTTTTGTTCGGACATTTTTTTTTTTTTTAAAAAAATTTTTTTGATTTTTTCACGTAGATAATCTTCAAAAATTGTGCAAGTCAAATCTTGCACAATTCACTTTTTTATCAATCTTTTGGAATAAAAGTAGAAATTATCATGTTTACGTAATAGTAACTACAAATTAAAAATTAATTTTACAGCAAGAATCTTTCTTTATTGAAAAACCAAGGAATTTTTTTTGAATGTTCATTTTGTTGCAAGCACGTCCCTGTTTATCATCTTTATTAATGAAGATTATTTTTTTTTGCCGGAAATTCTGGACATCGAACGATACTAATAGGGTAAATTGTAAAAATAAAAAATAAAATTCTAAAGCATGTTTCGACTAATACAACCCAACCAAGATAACACAGATGATTTGATAGATGGTATTTTAGATTTGAGATAATAATCGCATTGGTACAAATGTCTTTTAACAATAATAATAATATCTTTACATATCTATGCATAACATGCCCTTGCATGTTTTTGGCTAGTTCTATTGTTTTCTAAGCCAGTAATGCCCAATCTTTCAGACATATGCATACATATACATATTGGTTTCACGATCATCATAATGCATATGATGAATTTCCAAGTGTGCCATAAATAATTAACAATAATTAACTCAAGCCCGAGACTGATTTGTGCGAAATTTGTTCAAATTAATATTAATCTATTTTTGTCGATCAATCTATTATTATTATATATTAGAAAATAATTTTTCCGATAAAAAATAAACATAAATTATAATTCAAAGCAACAGCAATGTTTGAAAGTATATACTTTATCTTTTTAAGCATAGCAATTATCGGTGCTATTAATTCTATACTTTTACTCTATTATAATTCTGTACGAAAATCATACCATGCCATTGGTGTAAACACCGACCATAAAACATATCAAGATGTTGGTGTACAGACCGATGAGTCAACTTCTTTACAACAAGAATCGTCATTGTCATCGAGTGAAGATAATACCATTGCAGATATAAATAATGATGTGGTTTCAGTTGATAGCTTGACCGAACCTGTAGATTTAGAAACTTCAAAAGGTCTTATTATTGTTAATCTCGAATCCGAATCCGACATTGATGACGAACTAAATATAATGACAAATAATACCAATACCGTTATCGCTAAATCTATTGTAGAAGACAATGAATCAAATGATGATGTCAGCACCAACGACAGTGATATTGATGATGAATACGATAGCACTGACAACACTACGAAATCTGATGATGATATTATTCAAGGAAATAATTGTTTGATGCAAGTTGCTCACGTTGAATATGTTGAATCTGAAATTAGTACAAACAATATTGTTGTAAATTATAACGTTGTAAATAATGCTGTAAATAATAATGTAGATATAAAATCAAAAGAAAACTTCAATTACTCAAATACTGATTTTAGTTCAACTATTGCTGAATTACCATTGGAAGAAGAAGAAGAAGATCTGATATCAAGTAATAATAATGACAATAATAGTGGTGTGACTAGCTCAAATGCTACAATTAATGTTGATTTGATCAATAAATCTATGAATAATGACGATATCAGGCAAACTTCAAATGACCAAAATCTCTCTGATTTAGAAAATGTGCTAGGCTCAAATGGTGGTGATAATATCAATATATATGATGAAAATACAAACCCAAAAGAAAATATTAATTACTCAAACGCCGATTTTAGTTCAACTGTTACTAAACCACAATCAAATGAAAAAGGAGATTTAATGCTAAATGAGAGTAATGGCAATGACAATGTGGTAACTGATTCAAATAGCAAAATTAAAGTTGATTTGACCAATAAATCTTTGAATGATAGTGGTGTTACACGGACTTCAAATGACATTGTTTTTGAAAATGTGTTAGGTTCAAATGATGATGATTTAACCATTAATGATACTAGGAATGGAACGTTTAATGCTGAAACCGAAGTCACAACTATTAATGGTGATGTTAAAAACGAATTGGATAATGATAGTGAAGGCGTAATAGTATCACAAAACGGCTACAATAACACCAGTTTGACATGTAGTTCTAATCATGAAGAGCCACAAGCTGAAACAGGAACCAAATTAAATGGAGATGGTTATCAACATGTTTCATATAACCAATCTGATAATGATGATAACAGTTGGCTAAAAAAAGCGGCAATATTTGAAGCAGAATTACGATCAAGTGGCTATAATCTAGATAATGATAATGTTTTCAGTAGCAGCAGTAATAATCCTAATAAGGTTCAAACTAATCAAAATGGTCGTGGTTGGGGATCGAATAACCGAGACGATGAAAGCGAATGGGAAAAACTAACTGCAAAATTTAAAGCTGAAATAAATAATTCAAGGAGTAATGGTCGTTCAAATAATAAAAATAATGAAGGTTCACGGAGTAGAAACAACAACAGTAAAAGAAGTGGTTTTGATATTACTAAAAAAAATAACAACAATAATTATTACAATCCTCAAAATAATCGTGATAAAGACAACCAAACCATAAGCAAAGTTAATCAAGAAACTTTTTGCAATAGTTGTAAAAAAGTAGGTCATGCACCTTCTGAATGTCCAGAGAATGAAATTAATGCAAAAATAGCATGGACTAAATTAGTTACCGCGGATTCACAAAAGGATTTTGAAGGGGTAAAAGAAGCTTTTGAGATGTACACTAAGGCAGCATCTCACGAGACTTTTCAGTCTATTGAAACTAAATTAAGAAAAGAAAATTGTAATTGTAAGATAATAGCAATACAACGTGAAGGAATCCCTTTGAGAAAATGTATAGCTGACCTTCAAGGAAACAAGGGAAAGAAATATGTTGCTTCTTTGATAATGATCTCGCCACATCTTCTTCCGCGATCTGCTGGTATTAGAGCACAGAGTGAACAAGAAAATTTCGATTGGTTGGCAGACTCTGGTCAATTAGTTGATGATTTATCTGTTCCAATTTGTTACAATTGCAAAAAGCGAGGTCATTATAGTCGTGATTGCTCTCAATATAATATCAAAGAACATAGCAAATTTGATAACAAAATTAATAGTGCGAATAATACATCACCCTTTAATTGTCATAAATGCGGATCCAATGAAAACCGTCATAACTGCCCTTATAGTGAAAATTCACCATCACCACAACGACAGCAACGATCAGCACTTGTTGGTAGATATAATCACCATCACATAATTGATCATAATAGCAACATGAAAGATTTTTTTGATAGATCATATGGTGAACAATGTTACAATTGTGGGTCCACGGGACATCACATTCGTAACTGTCCTCGTAGTGAAAATTCACCAACATCATCACAACAACAATCATTCATGAGAAGGGATCATAATAATTATTATGAAGATAACACATTTGGTAATAACAGATTGGATAATAATAACTTATGGCAACAACAGGCACCAGCATTTGTGAAAGGAGGAGGACATCGTCACCGAGATCATAATAATTATGAAGATAACACATTTGGTAATAACAAATTGAATAATAACCCATTAAGCGGAAAGTGCTTCAAATGTGGATCTCCAGAGCATCATGCTCGTTCATGTACTCGTGATGAAAACTTACAGCAGCAACAAAAAACATCGGTAAGAGGAGGAGGATATCGTCACAGAGATAGTCATCATGAAGGGAATAACACTTTTGGTAGTAGCAAATTGAATGGTAACTCATCAAACAGAAAGTGCTTCAAATGTGGGTCCCCAGAACATAATGCTCGTTATTGTACTCGTAGCGGAGATTCAAAACAACAAAAGACATCAACTTTTGTAAGAAGAGGAGATCGAGATCATTACAGAAATAATAATAATCATTATTGAAGGATGTGGAATCAAAACCGCTTAAAATGCGAATCACTTGAACATCTTGCTAATATCTACACAATATAACTGGTTTTATGATGATGATAACAACAGTCAGTATCAATGACAATTGCAATGACATTGGTAACAGTGGAAGGACACCTTTCTAGAAACTGTTTGTTGTACATCAAACTGTTAAATAAATTTATGTATATTAAATTTTAGCTTAATGAATCATTATTTTGCATGAATAATTTTAATATTTATTAACTATATATAAATTTATTTTTTTTCAATGATTGTTCATCACTACTAGAGGTCTGCATGAGCCATTATAATTAAACTCATGTCCAACCCGGATCCCTAAAATTAAACCCTAACCCAACCCGTAGACAAAAAATTTCACATATTATTATTATATATATATTCACCGGATAATATAAAATAACATTTATTAAAGTGCACCTCGCAACACAAGTATACTGTCCATTGTATGTGGATTTAAATTTGCACGAAGCTGATTAATAGTTAATCCTGCTGCACTAAATTGATACACTAGAAGATGGAGATGAAAGATAACAAGCACTTAATATTGCCACCATTGTATATATCCAAATCCCTATCCTTTTGTATTTTCAATAATAATTTATCACTTGAATTGTAATATTGACTAATAAATAATTATTTACAAAAAAAAATTATTGTATGATACAATTTTTTAGCACGCTGTAATGTTGGGTATAAGTATCAACCCGGGTCTAACCCGCATTCATTAATATTAATTATGCCCATCCAGGCTCAACCCGCAATGCAGGTCTGGTACAGAGTTGGGTTGCGAGTTGGGTCCTATTGCAGGCCTCTGATAAAATCGTTTTCACTTGATAGGATAGGTTTCCATGATAGAATCGGTTTTCACTGTACCGATTGATTATTCAACCTATGTAAAAAACTCTGAACTTCTTGTACTTCGATTTCAACTTTTTCTTAAATAAATAAGTAATGATCCCTAGCAAGCTTTGGCTTGAGATCAAGTCGAAACTAAAACCTGTTATTTATTAACTATAAAGTTAAGAAAGGGTTATGAATTTCAGAGTTCTTTACACATTTTGAATAATTAGTAACGACCATGTAATGAAACTACGAACTAGCAACCCCATATGTTTTTCCGAACATATTGCGAACCAAAACACCAGTCCTGTGGAAAACATCTTTATTTTGCACTTGATATACGTAGATCCCATTATAAAACAATCGACTTCATTGAAATCATTTTCATACCTAAAGTTTTTGCTACTCTGCTAATGCAACTACATTATTGGCTCTGCCAATGTCTATTTACCTTTTTTAGTAATTTGGACAGTCTGATTGTTAGCTCTGCTTTAAACTACACCTTCCATAAGTGCACCATGTGCCTCATTCCCAAACTCGGGACTTAAGTGATAAGTGCACCTTTACATATCTGCACCGCACGGTCTTTTCCCATGTAAAACCACCACCTCTAAATGTCATTCGTGACTTTCACGTAAACACCGTGCGATAATGTATTAATAAGATAATCTGTTTTTAATAAATAAATTAAATTTTTCTTTTCTTTTTTTAATAGATGCAAAGAGTTGTCGGAACAACAGATTAATAACGGGAATAATAGAATGATGAAGTTTATAATTTTTTAGCAACATTAGAACTGATTCTTCAACATTAGGTAAACTCACTAGGTGCATACAACTCTTAACCTATCTGATAGAATGTCAATTGAAGAGTTTTAAATAATCCAAAAGAAAAATTTATAAAGTTCCTGACGATGAATAAATGTGTATAAAACAATCAAAAGTACTTGTGGATGGATAATGGTGATGGAATTGAGGCGGTAATAATAAGCGTAATGATGATGTTGGAAATTTTCCGCGTCTTTTTTGCTACAAAGAAGAAAAATTCCAAAGGAACAGACAGTTAAAACAAGTTACGACACGTGCAACTAATAAAAAATTCCAAATGCATGCATCATCCCTTGGGTAAATGATCAACACAATTGTCAGTCGGTAAATTAAATTTTATTCGTAATAGTAACCCCTCACTATTACTATGATAATTTAAGAAGGTTTATCAGTCATACATAAACTCGAATCATTTCTACATTTAAATAATACGTTATATTAATTTCTTTGGGCTCCTAATTTCAAAAAAATTTAAAATATGGCAAGAAACAACACCACTGTTAATCTACCAACGATTTCCGAATTGAACAAATTACCGTATGAAGAATTTGTCTCTTCATTAAATATTCTATTTGAATCAGCGCCACCTTTAGCTAAACATTTATATTATTCATCAAGACCTTTCACATCATACAAATCATTGATAACAATTGCCAAAGAATATGTTACTTCTAACAACAACAACAACAATGATGATGATCTATCATTATCATTATCTGATAAGCTTGAAATAATTAATGCACACCCACGATTAGGTGATAATAGAAAAAATCTTTCGATAATGTCACTCAATGAACAAGGTTATAATAATAATGCGAGCAGTAGTGAGAATGTGAATGCGAATGTGAATGAAGAAGAAGATAAGATCAATTCAAAGCTTCAAGAATTGAATTCACAGTATGAAAATAAGTTTGGTTTTAAATTTGTGATATTTGTTAATGGAAGGAGTAGAAAAGAATTGATACCAATAATTGAAGAAAAAATCCAGAATGGTGATAAAGATGAAGAGTTGAATAGAGGGCTAATTGATATGATGGATATTGCAATGGATAGATTAAAAAAATTAAATTGTGAATAAATTTATTGGATTGTTGGTTGAATAATTTACATTAATTTATAATATTTTATTGGAGATATGAAAATAAATAAATAAGAAAGTCAAAAGAATAAATTAATAATTAAACAAATAAGAATAATTTACGATTATTTAATCAAAGTTTTTTCCTTTTCCAATTCTTTTTCAATAACTGTTTTAACCAGTTCTTTATCAGCCTTCTCCACAAAAACAACATTTTTTTCTTTTTCCAATAATCCCTTGAATTCCACTGGTAGAATATTTTGAAAATCGAAATTCTGAAAATTTTTTAATGCTGTTACAACTGTTTCAGAGAATTTTGCTGGATGAGCTGTTGAAAGACAAATCTGATATGTATTTCTATTCATACATGCATACACATACATAAGTGTATTATAAACATAAATGTGTTGAAAAAATAATACTTGAATATAATAATTAATAGATTACTTACGGATCATTATTTTGCCCAACTACAACTTCTGCAGCTGCCACACCAACAGCAGTGTGTGGATCAAGTAAATACGAGACTTGGTTATCAGAATTAGGCGAATAATAAGTTTTTATAGCTTTTAATGTCTGAGAATACATAGAGATAAATAAATGATATATTAGTAATTAGATAAACTTTTTTAAATAAAGAATTTTTAAAAACAGAACCTCTTCATTAGTAACTTTAGAGCTTGTAAAATCACAAAGTGCTATATCCAAAATTGATTTATCAACAATAATGTTTTGATTTGATTTAACTTTTTTCATCCAATCATTAACTGTAGAACATGTAATATTAATCTTTTTTTCTTTGCCTTCGCCATCTTTAACATTTTCATATGCCAAATACCATAATAATCTTTCAAAATTACTAGAAATTGTTATATCCATAGCGGGACTTAGAGTTTCGTGCACATACGTATCATTACTATTACTATTGCCATTGGTATTAATATTGATTTTTTCATATCTGCCAGTTTTAAAAAATCTATCCAAAATATCGTTAGAATTTGTTGCCACAACGAAATTATCAATTGGCAGTCCCATATGTTTAGCATAATAACCTGCTAAAACATCACCAAAATTACCCGTTGGTACGCAATACTGTAATTTAATATCTGGTACAGATGCAGATGTTGATGGAGAAATATTTAAAGATTTTAATAGTTGAAAGTACGAATGATAATAGTATACTATTTGCGCAAGAATTCTAGCCCAATTTATAGAATTTACTGCACCAAGCTTATGTTTTTGATTGAATTCAACATCTGCAAAAAGCGCTTTAACCGTGTCCTAATAAAGTATATTAAATATACATGTATAAAATATAAATAATTCACATGTATATAAATATACATAATTATTGTTGTTTACCTGACAATCATCAAAAGTTCCTTTCACAGCTAAATTATGAACATTATTATCTAAAACACTGGTCATTTGTGCTTCTTGAATTGGAGAAACTTTTCCATGTGGATGTAAAATAAATACTGATATATCTTTTTTCCCTCTTAATCCATAAATTGCTGCACTAAACAAAAAAAATATTAATAGACGCCATTATTATCATTAAGTTTAAATTTTAATAATCATTAATAAATAATACCTTCCAGTGTCGCCACTAGTTGCACCAACAATTGTAATTTTTTCTCTCTCTTCCTCATTCTTTTCCACACTCTTATTATTCTTTTTTATCAATAAATATTCAAATAAATTGCCCAGGAACTGTAATGCAACATCTTTGAATGCAAAAGTTGGTCCATGAAACAACTCCAAAATATACAACCTATCTTTAATTTTTTTGATGGGTGTGACCTCTTTATCTCTAAAGACAATTGACGGCGCTGTTGTTGAATAAGATTGTTCTATTAACTTTTGAAGATCTTTTCTAGGTATTTCTGTTTCAGATATATATAATGAGAAAATTTCTATTGCCAATTCGGTAAACGAATAATTGTACCAATCTTTATACCAATTATTTGGAAGTTTTGGTATATCGTGTGGTATAAATAGACCACCATCTTTTGCTAAGCCTATCAGTACCACCTCAGAAAATGTTAAATTGTCTTGATAACTTCCTCTCGTCGATCTATATTTCATTTTTTTTTTTTTTGAATTAAGAAAGAGATCACAAACGATTATCAATTAGTAATACCCAAATATAAAAAATTACACAAAACTCGTAGTACCGCTTTTTTCCCTACTTGGAATTTTTTGTTTGATTTTGTGATCCACGTTTTTCCTATATATATTATTGCAGATTTACTATATATATATTTATGTAATGACTATAAAATATCACATGACTAACCAATATCATCGCTGCGGCGCAGAGTAAGTTGTGGGTCAAGTGACTACCGTAAAGTCTGGAAAGATAGCATCCCATTTTTACATATGTGTAACATTTTTTTTATATTGACGCTCAATTGTTTTAAAGTAGGAGTACTATCTTTCGGGGGATGCTATCTTTCCAGACTTTACGATAAACACAAAAAAAAGATTTAACATTTGCCGTGTCACGATCTCCTTTTGCGTCTAGCCGCGCCTGGTCTTTTCGGTTTTTTGCGCGATCAACGTTTTCACCATATTTAGCAAAAATTGTGTCGTACGGCAAATGGTTTGTTTTATAACCTTTAGAAATAATTAAGGTCCAGTTTAAATTCAAGCACACCGGAAAGATTGCTATTTATTAAAAGAAACATGAATCTTGTTTCAGTCTTTCCTTATTAGTTTCATTTTTAATTTCAATTTTTATAATAATAAAATCAATATTAAACCTTGTTGTATATATAGTTTGAATATTTAAGTAATTGAACAACCCATGATTCCAAATAATCTAATAAAATGAATGAACAAACCCAAGGTTCCGATAATGAATAAAACAAATAAAACAAACAAATAATTTGAATAAAAGCGAATTAAATTTTTAATTCGAATAAACTTTTAAATTCGAATAAACTTTTTCGAATAAACTTTTTCGAATAAATTTTTTTAATTCGAAATAAATTTTTTTACGAATAATTCGAATAAGAATTTGTATTACAAATAGAAGCCCTAACTACGATGTGATGTTTTTTTAATATGTCAGTGAATAAAGCACCATTTATCTGATCAAAATAAATACAAGAAGTAAAAAATATATACAAGAAGTAAAAAAATATATACAAGAAATATTTACAATGAGCGGGGAAATAATCAGATAAAACGTCGATATACGATAGTGTTCCCGCGGGCTAAGACTTACGATTAAAAAACAATTATATACAAGAAAAAAGAAATAAAAATTAAATAAATAATTTAAGGGCGCGGGCTTTATCATCTAGTCGACCAGCGACTATTGATGATAAATCCTCTATAACGTTTGTCACATCTGTGGGTATACCGACGTTTTAGATGATCGGCTCACCACGACGCCGATCGTATCCTTTGTCAGAACTCCCTCCAATTCATTTACGGCCGGGCGACCTGCAAATGTTTGATATTAATTAATTGAAAGTTTTCTTAATTAATGTGATTCAGATATAATTGATATAATACCTATATTCTTTCGGTACCAATTCTTGCATTGTATAACAAACGGGATGCCGCAGACAACTCCTTTAATGTCAATTCCTTTGTCACCCGGCCCTTTGTATAATTGATAAACAATAAACAATAATGAGTATAATGCGTCATTATCATCAAAGAACTCGACAAAATAACTCAGTGAAAAACACTCACCCAGTATGTTCACACTCAATCCCTGCATCCCTCAATATGTTTACAACTGTGATTTCAAGTTGACGGCCTTTTGCTACCGAAGAAAGCATTTTTAAAAAAATTTGTTTTGGAGGAAAAAATTTTTTTTTATAAAATAATTAGAAAAAAAAGATCTTTATAAAATTATTAGAAAAAAAAGATCTTTTAAAAATTATTAAACTACTCACATCTTATATTTATAATCGATTGAAAATGTATCCAGAATGTTCTATACTAATATCCTTAGTCAGTGTCGTTATTTTATTATTATATAACGCGATGAAAAAAATTACATAATTTTATTTAAAGAATAGGAATTTCACAATATGTTTATGTTCCTATTATTGATAAAAATTGCTTGATTCCCCATTAAGCAACAATATATTGATCATCTGAATTTAAAAAAGCTAAATACTGGTAGCTTTTTAAAATTGCTTTCCTTCTATTACTATGAGGTAATTAATTGAATTGTATGTGGTCGCAAAATAAACAAAAAAATAATAAGAATTCGATGATTCTTACGAAAAATGGTAGAGTTGGTAATAATAATAATAATAAATAATGAAAGAATATTTATGGTGACGAATTACCTCCTCTCTCTGAAGTCATTCCTGGGTTTGACAATCATCCACAAATAAATGAAGTTTATGCCAAAAAAGTATATATTTGATTTGTACTCCAATAAATAAATATGATATAAAGTTGGCATTTTTCCATTACAGTTTAATATTAGTATATATATATTAGGAAGTAAATGGAAATGATCAACACGAGATAATTAATAGTAACAAAGGACAATTTCCAAGAACAGTAGAATGGCAAATAGCCCTAGAAGAGGAATGGGGTAAATTGAACCTGATATTTTTATTTAAATTGGTTAATGGTGTTTTTAAAATTGTAATTGAAACAAAAAGCGGCATGTTAAACATTAATGCCTCTATTAAATAACGTGAACAATTAATGAATAATAAAAGGTTTGGTTTAACATAGAATTGTGACAAATTAAAAACGTTTGTAATAACCCTGTCGGGAACACGGTAACTTTTTCTAGATGTTCTTATGTTTTTCTATGAGCTTAATAGTAATTGGTTCTCAACATATGTGCCACTATATGGAGAGATATGACCGTATAATGTTGGTAATAAAATTATTTTTCAAAATATTCTATTAACCATCTACAGTATTATCAATTAGCCTTAACAATTTTCTTTTAATCGAACCAATATTACCACCACCATCGGTATGTCATTAGAAAAAAACTTTTTGTTGCAAAATAAACTTCTCGCATTGAAACCCCCCTCGTTCAAGGGAACCAAGTCGAAGTTACCGAAAAATAATTCGTTTTTAGCGGGCATGAATCAATTTGAAAATAGCGAAGGAAAACTTTTTTGTGTGTTCGTATGTTGAATTGGGTTATATATCGGAATGGTGTTTTGGTGATAGAGGAAATGATACCAGCATAATTAATGAGGAAAAATAGAAAAAAACAGTGGATAATGAACATCGTGTTACTATACTGTAGGTATCGGTCAATTAATAATCACTTTCTCTTTTTTTTTTAAAGAAATTATCAATTTTATATGTCAGATTTATGTAGTGATAAGCAGGCCACCTTCGTAAATATACTGTCTTTCGATTTTGACTGTTTAAAGGTGGACGAAGGTGTCCTTGTTGAATACAGGAGATTGAGCTACCTGAGTTAAAGGAAAGTTTATTAATGTTGGTGCATTTCTCATTGTATAGGAGATCAAAATTTTGAATTTATCGGAAAGATGTCATAATTTTTTGTTACAAAAGTTTTAGAATAACGAATGCTATGGATATGGATAACTTCTACGATGGACTACCTCAGAGATGACTTCACCGGGATTTACAAAAAATTCTGGACTAATCTTGATCAGAGATGCTTGGATGTTCAACAAGATGGATCGGAGGCTGTTATTTGTCAACATTCGGAAAAATTCTTCAAAGAATCTGAAAAAACATAATTTTGAAACTTTCTTTTATTGTAAAGAAAGTCATCAAAAAAAAAATAAACCAACTTGTTGATAAATTTCTTTGAGGGTAAATTTACAATAAAATTCAGCACCAATTATATTTACGCTTGTTTCACTTCACACAAAAGAACAATATTATTTTACTGAAATCAATTAAAAAAAAGCTCAAGCCTCAAATAATCTGTGAAGCAGAAAAACTGCATAGACAAGAAACTATGTTGAAATATTTGCTAGAAAATCGCCTAATAAACAAATTGCTGAAACTTACTTTGAGGAGATAGATAATATTCTCGCCATTCTACAACATTATCGTAGCTACAAAGATCCACCACTATATCAAGATGACCCACTTACTTTTACTCTGACAAATTTATTGAATCGCACGTAGTGCTAGCATTAATAAAAAAAGTACCTATTTTTAGATGTATGGTATCTGAGTGTATAACATTCGTCGTGAAATGCAACTAGTAGAGTTTTAGAAACTATTTTACAAATTTAGAACACCCCAACATTCCCGGAATTGAATTTTTCTACACTGGCGTGAAGGTGAAAAACGTCAAACAAAAGAAATGGAATATCCTTTAAGTTTATAATTATTAATTTCGTGTCAATCATTCTTAAACAAAAAAATTATAAATTCAAATATTAATTATTAGTATTAGTATTGGATGATGTCATTTCACATTCATTTGATTATTTATTTTGATATTAATTATTCAATTATAAAAACGTGTTTGGAGAGAATTTCTTTTCAAAAATAATACAAACAAAATAAAAAAATTAAATTATTATCTATCCATAACGATTCACCTAATTCTCCAACTTTAACCTTATCAACTAACTTATTTATTATTATTATTACTATTATCATTATAATTAATAAATAACCAATCATATTTAAATTAATAAATAATCATTAATCAACTATTTAATTTGCCCTATTAAATTATATTTCATAATTTAATAGACTATCATTACTTAAATTCAATTTAGCAATCTCATCATTTAATATTCTACTTGTATGATATGCTAATGGATGTGCTTGTTGTGAATTACCATTATTACTACTACTATTACTATTATTATTATTACCACCACCACCAATATTACTACTACTTTCATTAGAACTCACAGTTTTAAATTCATTATAAGAAAAATCCAAAAGTTCTCTACTAGTTGGTCTCTTGGCTGGATCCACATCCCAACATCTTTGCATCATTTGTACATAATCATTAGGCATTCCTGGTAATATTGGTGGTCGTAAACCTTTGCATATTTTTAATTGCAAATGAAGATCATGTGCCTCATCATCAAATGGTGGATGACCTGCAAATATTTCCCACAATAACATCCCAACACTATAAATATATCTGTTTCTTTTGTGTATTTTTTTCCTCTAAATAGTTCTGGTGCAATATAAGGTACAATTCCATAAAGTTTATTTGATGATTTTTCATCAACTGGTCCACATAATCCTAAATCTGTGATATAACAACTACCCTCTCCAATTAATATATTACCACTATGTAAATCACAATGAATTAAATCTTTTGAATGTATATAATATAATGATTCACATAAATATGTAAAAATCATAATTCTATCCTTTAACATTAAATTATAATGATTTTTTTGTATATAATCTCTTAAATTTCCATCTGGATGATAATCAAGAACCATTGCATAATTTCCATTTTCTGGGAATTTAGTTATACCATAACAAGGAGTAATTTCATATGATGGAATTTTACAATAATTCAATGCCTGAAATTAATTATATAAATAAATTAATTGATTTAAAATAAATGGATTATTTTATTTTATTTTAAAAAGATCAATCACCTCATCAAAAAAAGGTTTTCCTGGATTACTTGAATTATTCAATGATTTCAATACTATATGCTGACCTTCAAAATAATTAAACTCTTTTTTATTTTCATCATAATCATTAATAGCTCCTCTTCTCCACCCAGCAGTATAAATAGAACTGAATCCACCTTCTGTTAACTTTTTTATATTGTAAAATTGCTCATAAGGTATCCATTCTATGATTTGATCTGGAAGAGATGAAAGCTGTTGACATTTTTGAATAAAACCATCAATTATCTCATTTCCAGATGTCCATGTACTGAAAAGGCTCTGCAAGTGTAGACTAATACACTTTTCACAATATTTGTCAGAGTATCTTGTTGTTTTACAATTATTGCATTCTCTTGATTTACCCCATTTATAAATTGCATTTTTTAATTCGAAATTATAAATAAACTTTTCTCTATATACAAAATTCCTTTTCATTTTCAAATAGTTCTTTGTTTTCTTTGACTAATTGTAAATAATAACTTTTTCTATTTTCACGGTCAGAATTAGAAGTATTTGGAAAAGCAGAATGAGCAATATCATTCATTTCATTATCAATTTTAAGCACTAATTCCTCTCTGTCTTGTGTTATTAACTTATATAAATTATTGGACATTTAACTTTTTAATATAAAAAAAATAAGCACACTTTAAACATTTTAACACAACATTTCTTTTTTTGTGGTATTTTTGCAAATCATCAAGTAATGATAACACTTTCCAACAACAAATAATAATATTGTTGACAAAATTTGCAAAGATTATAGGTAATTGAAATAAATACTTGCTGACATGTATGAAATAGATTAATTAATCCATGTTAATCACAAGATATCTTATTAATTTTGACCAAAACACCTTTCCTTCCAAATGCTTTCCTTTGTAATGCAGAATTGTCCCACTTTCATTCTTACATTTAGATGGTATTAAATCAGAGAATTTTCTAAATAAATGACCACATGTATAATCTTCTGATTTTTTGGTTTTATGGTTTTGGACTTGTATTCCTTTAACATATTATAAATACTTAATTTACACATTGTCTGAATTTTACCTTCCTAATATTGCATCTTCTTTTTGAATGAACCAATATACTTTAACAGATCATTTGGAACCTTAGCAGTACCTTGAATTCCTTTAATTTATCCTGCAGTAAAAACATTACTTTGAATATAGGAAATAAATCAAAAAAGTATACCCAAATGCAAATTTCACAACAAACAAAATAGCATACATTTTTCGGAATCCAGTAAAAGCATTATTAATGTGATAAGTTTATTTATTTTCAAATAAGTTAATTGCTCTCTAAACAATAGAATATTCATTAAGAAATATTCAAATAGTGGTTCATATCTACAAAATCAGGAAAAGGTACAACAAATCGATATTTAAAAATTTTATGAATGTTAATAGATACAACTAATGGGTGATTTATTTTATTTAAAGGTCATTGGATCCAAAGATATCTAATTAATGGTGGTAGGTCTTAAGATAATATTAAAGTTAAAAATACCACAGGAATTTTCATGCTCGTCAGAAATAATATTGGCATCTGATGAAATTCTTAAAGAAATAGTTCAAGTGTATGATGTGTAATGGACTTGGATTGTATATTATATAATGTATTGTTGCTTTTTACCAATGCGCTATTTATTTATTACATAAAAAAGATTATATTTTGGTGTCTCAAAAAAATTTTTTTTGTTCACGATATTACGTTTTCTTTCTTCAATTTAAAACTTTACCTTTTTTATTATTAAATTACAGTTATCATTTAGAGTTTTCACTGTTTTGACTTTCCTTCCCATATTGCGTTATTGCATCTGTTTTTTTGTCAAGAATTTTATTATCTTTTCAGTGTTCATTCTTTCGAACGTAATCAAAAATTCGTAGGGAATGATGATCTCGAGGGTGTGGTTTTACGTCATGACCTTTCTTGGATTATTGTTATTTAATTTATCTTTTATTGCTGTTACTAGTTATACCAAGGATACAGTTTTACGTCATTTTCTTTTTATCACTGAAACTTGTGTCTAAGCTTCTTCAGCCGCGTGATTAATTATATAATCATTGATTTCCACATGAATTTTTAAACATTTTTTATTTGGATATTATCTCTTAAAACTTTACATGCTGGTATTGATATTGCATGCACAGGCTATACAAATAACTTTAGTTTATCAAAAAGGGTGTTGAGTCTCATAAGGTTCAGATTTAATAAAAATTTTGCTCTCACAAACAAGCAAGCGTCTTGCAATTGCACGCCTCATATCTATAAATTTTTTTTACAGACGATGCCAATTGAAACAAGTTGAAGGACTTTGAGTATTTTTGACAACAACGCAATTTCAATAAACTCTAGAGCCATGTGCCCCCTGAAAATTTTAATTGATCACTGTATCATCAGGAGAACCTTGGTCTAATGTACGCAAGGAAGATGAGATGTTTTAAATATTCGAGCTTTGAAGATACATTTCAACATCTATAAACAAATTTCCAACAATCAAATGGATAGTTTTTTGGTATTACCAGATTGTCTAAAACAGTTTTCCATGTATGTGTGTGTGAGAGATCTTCAATAACCATGTTACTTTTTTTACCTTTGACGCTTCTTTATAATCGTTTAATATTAATAACGATCACATGAAAAGGAATCTTATAATCACCTATATATGATAGATTTCATTCCACGTTTTGATTTATAAGGTATTTAGGCTATTTTATATAAATAAAAATAAGTTTATTAACATACAAAAAAAAAAAACACTGGCTATTAACAACCGACAACAAGTAGCATATCTTCTTTAAATATGTTGTAATGAATGACCAATTCTCTTTATCTCGCGTTCCAAAAAAAAATGGAGTTTTCCTTGTACATATATTAATCAACGCATGTAATATTACTCGTCTTCAAATATTAGTATTAGTAATATATTTTTTTCCATATTATTAAGCTTTTTCAAAAAAAAAGGGTCTTAAAAAGTTAAAAAGAAACAATGCACCGGGTAGAAAGGAAACAAAACATAAACAAATGTTACGCATGAAAATCTAGATATTAATATATTCCGATTTACCTATACTATTACAGAGATTACATGGCGATTATAGAAATAACATTAGTATTAGTAATTAGTATTTATAATTTATGTACAGAGTTCCGTATACGAGAAAAATGGTTTCTGGGTGTTTTTTTGTTTTTTAATTAAATAAATCGACAAACTTAAATATCTTGGCCTTTATTTATTAATAAAAAATGATTCAAAATCAACTTATTTATTTATTTATTGCCATCTTCTTTATTACCATCATTTTGTTTTAGAATACATGTAAAATAAACAATCTTCAGAATTAATTAATTTTATAATCCGGATATCAATTATTTTTCCTTTGCCTCTAAAACCTCTAAAGGATATGTAATGATAGATTTGAATCTGATAGGTGCGAATATTCATCACCTGTTCTACTATATTTTGCTTTTATATATATTATAAATCCATTGATGAAGGAATTCAAATGTTTACAAAGTAGTAGAAAAGTATTTACTCTTTATAAATTTTTTTGTAATTATTGTAAACGACTTTGTCACCTCAGCATTGCTATTTACCAAAAGTATTTTTGTCACTCAAGGAGTATCGTGTTGGTCTCGATCAGCTTAATGTTAACACTATTTGACGCATGACACTTATTTCTCCAAAAATGAAAGAAAAACACTACTATCTTCGTTTATTAATTTCGAAACAACAGCGACAATAACAGCAAGGAATCGGGGGAAGAAGAAGGAAAAAATTTCCATTCTTGTATTTTTTATTATATAAATTAAATATCTTATTATTATATTATGAGATAAATATAAAATCCCAAAATTTATCCTAACGAAAAGTAAATTAACTCCTCCCATAATTAAAAATCAATCGTGTCTGTATCTCTTGCGAGTAAGGTAATAATACTAGAGCTTACTCGCAAAAAAGTTTTCGATAATAATTTGACATCTATTTATTTTAACGATCCATTGCCGTCAATTAAAATATCATTACCTACTCTATTAATTACTATATCGTTCGATAATAATTCACCTTTGATATCAAGAAATTGGCCAATAACATGCTTTCCAAATCCTTTGAAATGTTTTTATTTACTTCGTTAATCAAACCTTCCTTGTTCTCTTTAATATTTTTTATAAATTGCACTGCAAAAAATCCGCATATATGAAAATTTTTTGATAATCAACTGCCGTGAGTTATTTAAAATCTACAGTTGGTGCAATACGCGTGTACTAAGTAAAATCTTTGAATCGGGTTACTATCTCTAAAATCCAAACCTTGTATTTTTATATATTTTTATATAGGTTTCATACTACAAATACATATATATATATATATATATATATATATTGAACAATTGTTATGAACTATATTATAAGATACATTTATTATACTAACCATACAGCCTATTTTTTTCCTTCGATGTAAAGATCTACAAACCTTTGGATGAAAATACTCTACAAACATCCGGCGATAAATGCATTTCGGATGGTAAGTAACCCATACATAGTTATATAGATTTCCAACTTCCAACTCTTCTCTAACAATCTTTTACTGCTTTTACAACTTCCGAGATTGTTAATTAATTTTCGGGGCTGATTCTTATCAATGACTCTTTAAATAAATTTTCTAGTGTAAAATCTCCTGTAAGAGGCTTTACATTTGATATTTCTTTTACTTTTAACTTATATTCATCAATAAACTCATTAATCTTTAATATTTATTTGTCTAAAATAAGTTAATTGCTATGATTTCATTTTCATGTACATGTAATAATATTTTATAAGTTCTTAAAAACATATCAATAGTTATAAAGTTTTATGTAAATTATGGACATTCATAGCATAGTTATTCCTTTTAAATTTATTATGGGAGTTTCGGTGCTTAGAATGCAAGCATAGAGTGAATTTGAAATCACATGCGTGAAATTCCAATCAGCTAATCAGAATTCTCTGAATTATCTACTGCTGCGAAGATTACCTCGGAGTTTATATACGGAGTAACGGTATTATTGACGAATTAATTTAGTTAATTTAGACGTTAATGACGTTAATATCCCATTGATTAAAAAAAAAACTTTTTTGATTCTTTTTAAATTAAATCTTCCGTCTATGAATTCAACTATTGACAAAATCAAAATCCTTCATATCAATAAATTATTTAAAGCATACCAATCGAATTGAAGGTGAACATGGTGGCAATATTATCTCGAGGTCACGAACAGTGACAAATAACTGGAATATGTAACATTGGGAACACCAATAGAACAAGGGTATTATGAAACACTGACTGGAATGTGAAAATTCCAGTAATTTCAACGATTATTCCAGCGTTACTAACTTTTTATTTGGCCCACCAATTTAAATATAATACTACTATTTGCATTTAAAATTTATATTTTGATCAATGTGATACTGATAATTAATATTGAACTACTTTTGCTAGACCAATCAAACGTGTAAGAATGAATAAATTTCATTGGCTGAATTCTTTGAGTTCCCGTGCAACATTGTATGAAAAAACTGGAGCAATAGAATACACGAATATATCAAAATTCTTCGTATCAATAACTTATTATTTAAAGAATAACAATAGTAGTAGCAGAAAATTTTAATTTGTACTCAAAACTGCTTTTTTCACGTTATGGTTCTTTTCTATTTTCCAGGTCACTTCGCGAAAAACGCATTTTAATACGTAAAACACAGAAACATCTACTCAGTACGGGGAAAGTTCATTTTTTATATTAGTATGTGTTGATCTATTCCGTGGATATTTTTTAAAGGATGCGTTTCAACGAATTTTCATTGGATATCGATCTAGAGTTGTTAATCAAAATGTTTTGAGCTTCTGTCGAAATATTACATCATTCGACATTCGGGTTGTCGAAAGTCTAAGTTGATGTCGAAGGTTAATATTAATAAAAAGCGATATTCATTATTAACACATAGGTTTTGAGGTAAATAATTGGTCGAGAAGAACTTGTATTTATCGATCAACTTCCAATCATTAATATTATATGGCGACAACCTAGAATATCATAAATACTGAAGAGTTTTTCGACATGTTTCAGCATTACGGTAAATCAAGTCACTACGATATAAATCTATTCTAATAATAATAATATCATTATTATTATTGTGTATCTTCTCCATCCTCTATATCATCCTCCTTCTCCAGTTTTTACCCTTTTCTTTATCCTGGATTACTTTTATTGTTTTCCTTCCAAGATTTGTTTTTCGTTGATAAAAGTTTTTTGCACCACATAATTCATGGATTTCAATTGCCACTCACCAAATGAAATCAATCCTCTTCATTAGTTGGTTCATGTTTTTCTAAGTTTTATCAAATTAATTATTTTATCAATCTTTGTTTAATGTATATCTGGTTTTTACAAGTTTGATGATGTAGTAAAAAGCCAAGGATAGTCCAATCAACAAAAAAATTCGCTTGTAAGGTAGGCATTTTTATTTTTAGGGAAAGGCCGGAAAATACGTGTTTAGGAATGGAGGAGGAAAGGATGGTTCTCAACATTCCTACTATTTAAAGAGTTTAAGGGTAATAAATATCATTTAAATTACCGGGTGTTGGTTTAAGCGTGAACGTGACTTGTGAGCCATTCATTTGAGCACAATAATCTATAAGAGTCTACCATAGGCAGACAACAACAATCTTTGGTTGGATTTACCACAACCAACTAAGGAAGATTACGCACAACCTTTAAAAAAATGAGATTACTTTGTAATAATTAAAACTATTTCAGTTAAGTAAATGAATATTTAAAAAGAAAATTTTCATTGATGATAATGTTTTTTTTTTTTAAAAAAAAAAAGAATAAATAAATAAATATAAAAAATAAAAATAAATATAAATATAAATATAAAAATAAATATAAATATAAATATAAAAAATATTCTAAACAACATGATCTCTGAGTTTTTCAAGATCAATTGTAAATAATTCATCAATTGGATCTTTGATTATTCCTTTTGTGTATCTATCATTAATCAAACTTGATTCCCAAGATAAGTTTAGATGCAATTTCTTAAACGAAGAATTTTTTTTCGAATAATTGATTATTGTACTAATATAATCACTATCAATTGGAGCATTAGGAAACACAGTTAATTCTTTTATGGGAGTTTTGCACAAGTTAATAAAATTTCCTAAAGGTTCAAGTGTGAATTCTTTTTCTAAATCCAAGTTTAATAAAGACTTTGGCAAAATGTGTGTTATTTCAGGCAATAATAAATCCATATCGTTGGCTGTGTCAGATGTGAATTTTAGATTGATCAATCTTAATCCTTTCAACAATCGCAAATGTTGAGAGAAATCATGGTGAGGAGTATTTGAAATGTCAAGCGATAGATCATTAACACCACTACAAAACTTTAAAATTGAATCAACCACACGTTTATTTATGGTGTTTAATGATAATTTTTTGACAGAGCCACCAGAAGTTTGAAAGATCAAAGATGAATAAATCGACTTTTGATTGATTAATTTGAGCGATTTAAGATTGCAGATTGTTGGAGGTAAAACAAAATTAAGCTCTTTTTCCGAGTCTTGATCTTCATCATTTAAATTATTGATATTTGAAATAACTTCTAACGATTTTAAGTTTATGCATTTTGATAAAATTTCAAGCAATTTCCATTGATAATCAATGTCAACAAATTTGATCGAGGTTAAGGTCGATATATGCGTTTCCAACGATAAGAATACCGGCGACACATTGATGAAATTACCATGTAATTCTAGACTGATCAGATTTTGTTGTGCCCTTATAATGTCTGCTAAATTTTCAGAGGTAGTTAAATCTGTGGAATCGATAATTAAATGACGTATATTGCTGCACAATAGAGATAGCCTATTAAGTAATGCTAAGGTGTTTGGTAGATCACTTGATGAGCTGACATGTAATTTACTAACATTTGACAAGCTATGCTGACCTTCAACAAATAAAAAAAAATTTGGTATATCATCGTGCAAAGAATTGAATTTAACCGAATCTAAAACCGAACATCTCGTAAATAACTTAATCAATGCTTTCATAACCGTCATTTGACGTGTTGGGTTTAAATCTGGCTTCAAAGGTTTGATTTTTCTGCTGAATTCTTTGCCTCCAATATTTTTATAGCTTTTCCTAACAGCTGTACGTAAAACATTATAATCCAACTCTTTTAAAAATGCCGCATATTCAAATAAAGGATTTGATAAATTTAATAAATTAAAATTATTATTATTGTGAACACTATCTTCGCCAATGCCACTAATATCACCTTCAACCTTATCAACACCATCATTTCTATTACTACCATTATTGACATAACTACTATTGCTATTATTATCACCTTCTTCTTCGTTCTCTTCACCCCTGCTCTCTTCTTCTTCTTCTTTTTCTTCTTCTTCACCTTCACCTTCTTCACCTTTTTTCTTGTTTTTTTTTACTTTGTTATGTCCGAGAGAAAATAGGACAGCTTTCTCATCTTCATTAAAACATGAAATATATGTCTCGATTAAACTCTTTGATGCATTCTCTTTATACAATAATGGTTTAGGACTCGCCCACAAAACTGGAACAACTTTTCTACACCATAACCTATTGACCAACAAACATGAAAATAATGTATTCTGGTCTTTAATATGTTTGAGTATGCAATCAATTATCTCTGAGGGTAAATTTGGTAAACTATCATCTTTATTAAACTTGGATTTTTTTGTCGACATTTTTTTTTTGGTAAAAAGAATTTTCTTTAATTATATTAGGTAGTACATCTTTCCTCATTTAAACACAAAACAATTGTACTACTACTGACTTTTAATGTGATTTTTTTTCTGTTTAGTTAATGATTCACAAAGAGTGTCTCATTCTTTTCCCTTTGTTGGATTTAAATTCACCATTAACCCGAATTATAGTGCTGCGGTTACCCTCACTCGTTTTTACAAATATTTTCGAATCATAGAGTTTTCTCTAATATTAATAGTATTAGTATACGCTAATGATTTGTTGAAATACGTTGTAATACTATTTTTTTTTTTTTTTTGAAAATTTTTTTTTTTTTTAATGATTTAAAAAGATTCAAATTCAATATAATATAGTCTATTTCTATATCATCTTGTTGAATAAGATTGTAAACAATCTCAAAGGCATTTACAGCATCTTTTATTGAAACCTTTGGTGCAATCTCATTACCCCCAATGACAACTTTTTCTTCAATTTGCTTGAAAGAAGCAATAATTTCTTTGTCAGTTATCATTTCATTATTTGTTTCTTCATTCTCAATTGTAATATATTTATTATTCTGCTTTTGATGGAGAGGTAAATGACAATTCATTGATTCATTGATTTTTGATATTTATATTTATATTTATTTTTATTTTTTATATTTATTTATTTATTCTTTTTTTTTTTAAAAAAAAAAACATTATCATCAATGAAAATTTTCTTTTTAAATATTCATTTACTTAACTGAAATAGTTTTAATTATTACAAAGTAATCTCATTTTTTTAAAGGTTGTGCGTAATCTTCCTTAGTTGGTTGTGGTAAATCCAACCAAAGATTGTTGTTGTCTGCCTATGGTAGACTCTTATAGATTATTGTGCTCAAATGAATGGCTCACAAGTCACGTTCACGCTTAAACCAACACCCGGTAATTTAAATGATATTTATTACCCTTAAACTCTTTAAATAGTAGGAATGTTGAGAACCATCCTTTCCTCCTCCATTCCTAAACACGTATTTTCCGGCCTTTCCCTAAAAATAAAAATGCCTACCTTACAAGCGAATTTTTTTGTTGATTGGACTATCCTTGGCTTTTTACTACATCATCAAACTTGTAAAAACCAGATATACATTAAACAAAGATTGATAAAATAATTAATTTGATAAAACTTAGAAAAACATGAACCAACTAATGAAGAGGATTGATTTCATTTGGTGAGTGGCAATTGAAATCCATGAATTATGTGGTGCAAAAAACTTTTATCAACGAAAAACAAATCTTGGAAGGAAAACAATAAAAGTAATCCAGGATAAAGAAAAGGGTAAAAACTGGAGAAGGAGGATGATATAGAGGATGGAGAAGATACACAATAATAATAATGATATTATTATTATTAGAATAGATTTATATCGTAGTGACTTGATTTACCGTAATGCTGAAACATGTCGAAAAACTCTTCAGTATTTATGATATTCTAGGTTGTCGCCATATAATATTAATGATTGGAAGTTGATCGATAAATACAAGTTCTTCTCGACCAATTATTTACCTCAAAACCTATGTGTTAATAATGAATATCGCTTTTTATTAATATTAACCTTCGACATCAACTTAGACTTTCGACAACCCGAATGTCGAATGATGTAATATTTCGACAGAAGCTCAAAACATTTTGATTAACAACTCTAGATCGATATCCAATGAAAATTCGTTGAAACGCATCCTTTAAAAAATATCCACGGAATAGATCAACACATACTAATATAAAAAATGAACTTTCCCCGTACTGAGTAGATGTTTCTGTGTTTTACGTATTAAAATGCGTTTTTCGCGAAGTGACCTGGAAAATAGAAAAGAACCATAACGTGAAAAAAGCAGTTTTGAGTACAAATTAAAATTTTCTGCTACTACTATTGTTATTCTTTAAATAATAAGTTATTGATACGAAGAATTTTGATATATTCGTGTATTCTATTGCTCCAGTTTTTTCATACAATGTTGCACGGGAACTCAAAGAATTCAGCCAATGAAATTTATTCATTCTTACACGTTTGATTGGTCTAGCAAAAGTAGTTCAATATTAATTATCAGTATCACATTGATCAAAATATAAATTTTAAATGCAAATAGTAGTATTATATTTAAATTGGTGGGCCAAATAAAAAGTTAGTAACGCTGGAATAATCGTTGAAATTACTGGAATTTTCACATTCCAGTCAGTGTTTCATAATACCCTTGTTCTATTGGTGTTCCCAATGTTACATATTCCAGTTATTTGTCACTGTTCGTGACCTCGAGATAATATTGCCACCATGTTCACCTTCAATTCGATTGGTATGCTTTAAATAATTTATTGATATGAAGGATTTTGATTTTGTCAATAGTTGAATTCATAGACGGAAGATTTAATTTAAAAAGAATCAAAAAAGTTTTTTTTTTAATCAATGGGATATTAACGTCATTAACGTCTAAATTAACTAAATTAATTCGTCAATAATACCGTTACTCCGTATATAAACTCCGAGGTAATCTTCGCAGCAGTAGATAATTCAGAGAATTCTGATTAGCTGATTGGAATTTCACGCATGTGATTTCAAATTCACTCTATGCTTGCATTCTAAGCACCGAAACTCCCATAATAAATTTAAAAGGAATAACTATGCTATGAATGTCCATAATTTACATAAAACTTTATAACTATTGATATGTTTTTAAGAACTTATAAAATATTATTACATGTACATGAAAATGAAATCATAGCAATTAACTTATTTTAGACAAATAAATATTAAAGATTAATGAGTTTATTGATGAATATAAGTTAAAAGTAAAAGAAATATCAAATGTAAAGCCTCTTACAGGAGATTTTACACTAGAAAATTTATTTAAAGAGTCATTGATAAGAATCAGCCCCGAAAATTAATTAACAATCTCGGAAGTTGTAAAAGCAGTAAAAGATTGTTAGAGAAGAGTTGGAAGTTGGAAATCTATATAACTATGTATGGGTTACTTACCATCCGAAATGCATTTATCGCCGGATGTTTGTAGAGTATTTTCATCCAAAGGTTTGTAGATCTTTACATCGAAGGAAAAAAATAGGCTGTATGGTTAGTATAATAAATGTATCTTATAATATAGTTCATAACAATTGTTCAATATATATATATATATATATATATATATGTATTTGTAGTATGAAACCTATATAAAAATATATAAAAATACAAGGTTTGGATTTTAGAGATAGTAACCCGATTCAAAGATTTTACTTAGTACACGCGTATTGCACCAACTGTAGATTTTAAATAACTCACGGCAGTTGATTATCAAAAAATTTTCATATATGCGGATTTTTTGCAGTGCAATTTATAAAAAATATTAAAGAGAACAAGGAAGGTTTGATTAACGAAGTAAATAAAAACATTTCAAAGGATTTGGAAAGCATGTTATTGGCCAATTTCTTGATATCAAAGGTGAATTATTATCGAACGATATAGTAATTAATAGAGTAGGTAATGATATTTTAATTGACGGCAATGGATCGTTAAAATAAATAGATGTCAAATTATTATCGAAAACTTTTTTGCGAGTAAGCTCTAGTATTATTACCTTACTCGCAAGAGATACAGACACGATTGATTTTTAATTATGGGAGGAGTTAATTTACTTTTCGTTAGGATAAATTTTGGGATTTTATATTTATCTCATAATATAATAATAAGATATTTAATTTATATAATAAAAAATACAAGAATGGAAATTTTTTCCTTCTTCTTCCCCCGATTCCTTGCTGTTATTGTCGCTGTTGTTTCGAAATTAATAAACGAAGATAGTAGTGTTTTTCTTTCATTTTTGGAGAAATAAGTGTCATGCGTCAAATAGTGTTAACATTAAGCTGATCGAGACCAACACGATACTCCTTGAGTGACAAAAATACTTTTGGTAAATAGCAATGCTGAGGTGACAAAGTCGTTTACAATAATTACAAAAAAATTTATAAAGAGTAAATACTTTTCTACTACTTTGTAAACATTTGAATTCCTTCATCAATGGATTTATAATATATATAAAAGCAAAATATAGTAGAACAGGTGATGAATATTCGCACCTATCAGATTCAAATCTATCATTACATATCCTTTAGAGGTTTTAGAGGCAAAGGAAAAATAATTGATATCCGGATTATAAAATTAATTAATTCTGAAGATTGTTTATTTTACATGTATTCTAAAACAAAATGATGGTAATAAAGAAGATGGCAATAAATAAATAAATAAGTTGATTTTGAATCATTTTTTATTAATAAATAAAGGCCAAGATATTTAAGTTTGTCGATTTATTTAATTAAAAAACAAAAAAACACCCAGAAACCATTTTTCTCGTATACGGAACTCTGTACATAAATTATAAATACTAATTACTAATACTAATGTTATTTCTATAATCGCCATGTAATCTCTGTAATAGTATAGGTAAATCGGAATATATTAATATCTAGATTTTCATGCGTAACATTTGTTTATGTTTTGTTTCCTTTCTACCCGGTGCATTGTTTCTTTTTAACTTTTTAAGACCCTTTTTTTTTGAAAAAGCTTAATAATATGGAAAAAAATATATTACTAATACTAATATTTGAAGACGAGTAATATTACATGCGTTGATTAATATATGTACAAGGAAAACTCCATTTTTTTTTGGAACGCGAGATAAAGAGAATTGGTCATTCATTACAACATATTTAAAGAAGATATGCTACTTGTTGTCGGTTGTTAATAGCCAGTGTTTTTTTTTTTTGTATGTTAATAAACTTATTTTTATTTATATAAAATAGCCTAAATACCTTATAAATCAAAACGTGGAATGAAATCTATCATATATAGGTGATTATAAGATTCCTTTTCATGTGATCGTTATTAATATTAAACGATTATAAAGAAGCGTCAAAGGTAAAAAAAGTAACATGGTTATTGAAGATCTCTCACACACACATACATGGAAAACTG